TTTAAATGATACACATTTAGTGCAGTGTGCAATGGACCATTGGTACAAACTTTATTAAATGAGAAAGCAAAGTTCCAAAGTAATATGTTAATTGTGAAGTTTTTGAAAATAAAACTGTAGTATTTTTTTAAAAAAGGAATTCTCAGTAACAACAGAAAGAATAGCTTACTTTCCCCTCCCCCTCTATGAGCTAGTGTCCAATTTCTTCTTTTCTGAACAGCTGTATTATCCAACTTAAGTTGCTCTGCTAATTTCAGTCCCACAAGGACTAACTTGGAAGGCAAAAAAGTACTAGAAAAGATCAATTTGCTGGGAAAGATCAAATGAGAAAACTGTGGGGACAGCACCAGGTCATAGTATGAAGAACTAAGCAGACCTGTTCTTCATTAACTTAAGCTCTCTTGGGATGTCACACACTACCTGTCCATAGGCTTATTGAACCGCCTAACCCTCATCTCTGCACCATTCTTCTGGGCCCAAGTGAATCATATCCTGCTGCTGACAAGTTAGCAGGGGACTGCGGCTGCAACATGAAAGTACTTTTCTTTCTTGTCTAAATCAGGCAGATTTTTGAAAAGAGGACACAGCACTGACTCGTGACATGGCAAGATGAAATGAGAGGTCTGGGCTGGTCTTCGAGCTGTGTAGATAAAAGTAATCAAATGACACTCCTGGAATGCAAATTGGCATTCTTGACTGCAGCAATTGCACAACCATGAAACATCTCTGACAGCAAGCAAGATTAGGACAAAATGTTATGTAAAGCACTGAACTCAAAAACTCACTAGAAAATTCAAACTGTAACATTTACATTTTAATACAGCAATAGCCATCTCTGCTTTTGTCTGTTTCTTTACTTTGTTTACTGCAATTGCATACTCGTCTTTCTCAAATGCCTCAAAAATAAAAATGTAATGCAATTAAGGCATAGATCTTCTCCTAAATTTTTTTCCCCTAAAATGTCACACTGTTGTATTTTTTACAAAACAGTGTACCAAGGCAGGATTTTTCTATTACGTGTACAAAATGTGTGCTTAAGAAACACTTTCACAATTCCAAGTCTTAAAAGTAGGTTCAAAATTTGCTCATAACAAATAGTTTATTATTTATGCTTAAGACTTTTCTACACATGGATCAGGTAAAGATGAGTAATTTGAAATTTTCAACAGGTTTTAAAATTCATGCACTTTAGAATTTTAAAGCAGAACATGCATAGAGCTAGTTAGCTCATTAATACCAGACAGTTTAAAATGAAACTACAGTATATCAGAGAGCACATATGCCCCATTAAATTTCAGATTTAAAAATCCAGCCATTTTTAAGGGCAAGAAAAGATCCACATACTTTTGCAGGAACTGGGTATTCTTGTGCAGGTATGCTGATCAGGCTTATTAAATATTACTGTCTGAAATGAACTCCGTAATTAAACTGTGAACATTTGTAATCTATGACAAAAATGCTACCCATTTTATAATCTGTCTATGGACATGGGTTATATAATACAGAGGGGAGAAACGGAATATAGTGAGAAATATAAGCCCACTTCCACTAAAAAATATTTCAGCAACTACTATAAACAGCTAACATACAGATTAAGAAAAGAAGTAAGTAATATTCTGCCTTGATTTCATACTTAAAAAAATAGCTTCCAACCATTTTAACCGTCAGACACACAAAAAAGATGCTTGTTGCCACTTTAATCCTGGGTACACTAGATTACTACATGATGTCTTTTGTGCATCAATTTTACAACAGCTTGACTCTAGGGTAAATGGGAACCATCATAAATCGCATGCTGCTTTCAAAACCACTTTAATTTCTGTCAGTGTTACTGTAACCACAGTCCTGGGCACATGCTGCTTTTTCTCCCTGCCTTTTTTTCTTTTTTTTTTTTTTTTTTTCCTTGTTGTCTACATTTGACAGTTGCATCTCCTACACTCCAATTGTGGCTTTGATCACTGAAACAAGACATGTCATGTTAGGGAGAGAAGGGAAAAACACAAACCATCGTAAACTCCATTCACACAGACATTCGCTATCTAGTTTGAGTACTGTATGCATGCAGAAACATACACATACATAAGTAGATAAATATATAGATGTATATACACATACACACACTTGTGTGTGTGCATGTACATATGTATGTGTATACTCAAGGCACACAAGACAGCTCTGTAACATCCCTGGAGTGAGGTGACAAAAGCTGACTGAAAGCAGAGCAGTATGACTGGAAACATACTACTTCACTGAATATGGGATGATCACCGTTCATCACCAGCTGAGGTCGGTCCATGTGTTAACATGAACAGTTATCATTCTGCATGTTAAGTGTAGTCACGGCTTAAATGAGCTTGTCTTTCACAGCTGTCTAACCTGACCTCATATCACAACCCAGACAAACGGACTTCAGTCAAATGACGTCCTCGGCCATTTCGACTTTTAATTTTTAAATTAAAAGCCAAACCTTGCTTTGCAAAACCCCTACTGTAAAGGAGATGTGCATGTACACAGCACATGAAATAAGCAGCAAAAACTCGTTCAAAGTTGGTTTCTGAGGGGCTCCACCTTCCCCTTTACAGTTAGGGCATCAGCATAACTCTCCAAGTTCTGTTAGCAATCGCTGATTGGAGAGGTGCAAACTGCAAGCACATGCACAACAAAAAAAAGAGTTTCGGAGGGAAGGTGGATTTACACTCCTGTCTCCCTGCCGCAGGCGATGTTTCACACGCGAACACAGAGCTCCTTCCCGCTCTCAAGGGTTACCTTTACATTGTGTGCAAACCGTACGTATTTCCGAGCAGAAAGTGGTGGCCAAAATAGATCAGACCACCGTATGTCCGACTCAATCCCACTCCACCTTCACTCTCCCTCCCTCCATCCGCAAACACTTTTTTTTACACTAGCTCCTCATCTTTGGAGCAAGGAAGGAGGCGGTAAAAAGCATGTGGCCATCCCATTTTAACACCCCAAACTCACTTAAAGTTTAGCACAACCTCTTAGACATTTTTTCCCCCAATCCACGCAGCACAGAGCTGATTTATTTATTTATTATCTCCCTACTTCGCCTTGCCCAACTGCTTGTTTCTTTGAAGGCTGTGAAACATCGATAGCAAGCAGGGCTGCTTGTGTTACTGCACAATTTATTAATCAAATCAAACCAAAGTAAAGGCTACAATGAAAACGAAAGGCTGCTGGAAACTTCTTACCATCTCTGCATGCTGGTTGTCAAGTGCACCCCCTGTCTCTCGATCTCCTCTCAGCGGCAGTGCCTGCACCCTTCCTTTTGCCTCTGGGCTCTCAGCACTACACTTCTCTCTCTTTCCCCTCTTCTCTTTCTCCTTCCCCCCCCCCCCTCTTCCCCCCCACCCCCCAGGTGATTTGAACTAAAACCGGAGATTTATAAAAATACTTTTCACCCTCAAAAAAAAAAATAAAATAAAATAAAGGAAGCCCCCAAAAAACAACCAACCAACAAAAAAAAAAACAACAAAAAAAAACCAACAAAAAAACCCACCCTGACCGACACACACACACACACACACACAAAAACCAAAACAAAACAAAAACCAAGAAAACCAGCAGCTGCAGCAGCAGCGACAGTCTCTTTCTGCCCCCACACCCCCCACACCCTCTCTCTCTGACTCTCTCAAAACTTCAGCCCCCAAAGTTCAGCCCGAGCAGCAGGAAGAAAGAAAGAGAAAGAGCTTTCAGCGGAGAGCTGGAAGTGATGGGAGGAGGGACCCAGGTTCGGGTCAGAGCCTCCACAGGTTTGTTTGTTGTTGTTGGGATCTTTGGCTGGGGAAGGGGAGGCGGCGGGGGGAGGCTGAGAGCGGGTCCGAGAGGGCAGCGCTGCTTCCTTCTAACCCCGCGCTCTCGGGCGAGGGCGACAGGCAGGGAGGCAGAGGAGTTATTTTTTCACACACACACCCCCGACTGCTCTTTCCCCTTCCATCTGCCTGCTCCCTCCCCCGCAAACTTTCTGTGCCAGGCGGGGGCCGCGGCAGAGGCCGCCCGCGCCCAGCTGTCAAAAACACCCAGAGACCGCCGCCAACTTTGTGGCGAGGGCGGCCGGCGGCGCCGCGCGGGGCTGCCGCCCCTCAGGCTCCTCTGCCCCCTTTCGCCTTCCCGTCCTCCGCCCCGCTGCTCCTCGAGCGGCTGCAGTCCCTCCCGCAGCTTCTCCTCTTCCTTATCGGCTCCAGGCGCTGCTGGAGCGAGAGGGAAGGCGGCAATGCGAAAGAAAGCCGGAGGGAGGGCTGAGAGGGGGCAGAGAGACGGCGGAAAATGGAGCGTAGCCCAGAGGAGGGGGTAAGGATCCGGAGGGGAAGAGGGAAGAGCGTTAGAAAGGAAGGGAAAAGTTAGGCGAAGTTTTTGCTCGTGGTGCCGGTTTCCCGCTTCCCACCCATTGCTCCATCAGCTCCCAGGGCTCTGCGGCGGCGGCGGCTGCTGCTCGGTGTGGGATCTGAGGAAATATTTTGTAAAAGGGTGGGATTTTTTTTTTTTTTTTTTTTTTTTCTGCGGAGGGGTGGGGGTGGGTAAGGGAGGCGGGAGGAGGTGAGCCGTCACGGTTGTACGTTCGCAGGGAACAGACAAGAGTCACATCTGTGTGTGACACGGAGCCAAACCGAGCGAAACCCTGCCCCGGCGGCGCCGTGGAAGCGCAGCCGCCGCCGCGGCCCTGACTGGGCGCGCAGGCACAGGGCGGCCGGCCGGGCGCGCTCCCGCGGGGGCGCGGGGCGGGCCGGGAGCTCCGCGCCCTCCCGCGGCCGCCGGCGGATCGGGCCGCGCCGCTCCGCACGGAGCCGGGCAGGGCGCGGGGCACCGCGCTGCCGGCCCTCAGCCCCCGCTGCCCCCTCGGAAACCTTCCCTTACCGGTTCGAAGCGCCGGTCTCCACGCGAGCCCCGCCGGCGGCGCCGAGGGGCTGGCAGAGCCGACCCGCGTCGCACGGGCTGCTCGGTCGGGGGAAGGTGGCTGAGAGCTGTCAGGCTTCACCTGCGGGGACGGGCGGCCCAGCCCGGCTGTCCCTCGTGTCCGGCCTGAGAAGGCGCTGAGGGTCACCAGTGCGGTCAAAACCAGCTCCCCTCGTCAGGCGCCGTGTAAACACGAGGTTTATACACGAGGTTTAAACACGACCGGACCGTTAAAAAGTGAACGTGAGGAGAACTTCCCAGGCGATGTGAAACACAGATAGAACATTTTGCTCCCTTTTGGTGTAGCTGGACACTCAGATGACCTAGCACAAACTGAGAAAAATTGAGAGAAGATGGGAGGTAGCCGTCTGCACTCCTGATTTTTCCTGCATCTGCTATGGACTGAACTCACAGTAAGCTTGCTGTAATGAACGGCATGTCCCCGGGAATTGCCAACTTCCCAAGCTTGTTACCATATTTTGGCATCTTTATTACTTCTTTCCTATGCCTGTCAGAAGAGAGAAGGGTAAATTATCTGTATTAGTATCAAAACTATTTTTTTCATAAAACCCGTTATAATACATCTCAATGTCTGTTTCCGTGAAAAATTATTTTTGTTTTCTGGGTACTTGTCGGATACCTTGATTAGGCATAATATGTATCAGCTTATGGACAGGTTTGCAGTGTCCACACTTCATCAGGATTAGTTTTGATCTTTAAGGGCATTTTTTCCAAACGACAATTCAAAAGGATTTTGCGTTCATCAGAATTCTGGGGTTTTTATACAAGTGCCATGACCAATGAAGATTTTGAGCAATCTATAGTCATTCTAAAACAAAAAAAAACAAAACAAAACAAAAATAAAATCACGGGACTAATTAAGCCATGACTTAGTGCATTTTCTGTCAAAGGGGAGAGATAAGAAAAACCTTGTTAATTATTTCAAAGTCACATTTTATCGTACATAAAAACGATTTGCCCTTTTGAACCAGGGAAGGGCCAAGAAGTTGCCAAAAAATTGTGTTCACACAGCCCCCTCGTGGTCAAAGCCTTCAGAGCCTCACAACCACCTCTACTCACAGGAAGGAGGGAAGGGTCAAAGCAGTCTGATGCAAATTAAAAATAGAGTGCTGCAACCTTGGTTTGCAAAAGGCATGGTCACCTGCTAGAATAAAGATACGCTGTGCCCGTTACAAGGCTAATCTTCACTGCGCAGTTTCCCCGAAGTGAATCGAAGGTTATAAATGGTTGCAACTTTATGAAAGGAAAGTATTAGAGTAGGTAGATGACCATTCAACTAAATTTAAAACCAGATTTCCTTACTACTTTGGAAAATATTTTTTTTTAAGCTGGGGCTTGGCATTTGAAGAATATATTTCTATATGCACTAAATGAGTAGTTTACATTGATAATAGCCTATATCAATAAAAAAATTTTATCTAATCTCTGATCTGTCATTTTAAAGAGCCTCTAAGTGTAGCACAATCATTAATAGCTTCCAGTTACATTATTTTTAAAGACTTTAAGTAATTTTATATGAAAACTAATAAAGCTTCATGGAGTTACTCCTTTGTTATCTTGCTTGATATGTGATTCAGTGTTTTTAAACTTTTTTTTTCTTCCACCTGTCAATAAGCCAATGTCTTTTGTATTGGCAGTATATTACAGCCTCTTGAAAGCTGATGAGGAGGTAAAATGGCTGGAGGCGAGCTGACTGTTGGGAGTTCTGATTCCTGGGCTGACAGTATGGCATTACAGGATAAAGACTGTCGAGTAAGACACTTCCGCATATAGGATTAGTACCAAAATAACTGTCTGGTAGCATTTGAATACATAGCATCATTAGTTTCCAGACTGAACAACCTCCAGGTTTTTCTGAAATTTTTCATCTTTCAAATTCATGCTTTCAGTTGCGTATACAATAGTGGTTTAGATTTCCATTGAGTTCTTGCTTTCATGTTTGTCTACTGTGTAGTATATCCTGAGATAAAACTAAGAAGATAGAGCCTGTGTTAAAATACTATACCATCCACATGCACAGTACCTTTGTTTCTTTATAGTGCTGCAGTGACTATGAAATCAGCACATCATTGATATTGTGGGAAATGATGAAAATATACCTTTGCTTGCAATTCAGTCTCAAAAGACAGTGTACAGACTCATGGTGTGTCACAAAACTGTCTTATGACTTCTCAACGTGTGTAATTACCTTAAATTTTGGATATTATATGTAAGGTTTCAGGGAGTAAGTGCAACGCCTAAACTTTTATTTGCCTCTTAGTCTAATGATATCTTTTCATGAAGAAAACAGTGTCTCCAACAGCCTCATCAACAGAGATATACAGACTGCAAGTCTTTCTCTCTGTAATTTTCCTTCAAAACCAGATATGACCAAAGTAAAGAATTAGTAGTATTCCTTATCTGAGATTCATTAGTGTGAACAAAGTTAGAAAGTAAAATAATTTCCTTCAGGGGTTTTTATGTTTGTTGGAGTTTGGGGAGATTTTTGGGTTTGAGGATGGCTTTTTCATTTGGTTGGTTTGGGTTTTTTTTGCTTTTTCTTGGTTGGTTTGTTGTTTTTGTTTTTCACAGATTGGAGCACCAAGCTATTGCAAATTAGAGTCTGAGTAGTAACTGCAACTTGAGAAGAATGGAACCATAATTCATCTGTATTGTGATGTCTCTAGAGTGTGGTATTTCTCTGCTGTCTTGATCCAATTTCTCACAGAAGGAATTTATGCTTCACTTGAATCTTGCCCGTTTTGCAAACCTGGAGGTGTGGTCCAGAGGATTTGCCCACAGAGCAAACAGAGGTGAGGTGGGACAGAAGGCACCAGTCCTGAAAGGGACTATATCAAGATACCAAACTGAAATCTTCCATATTCTGATGGGTGGCAAGGTAAGACAGAACACTTCTAGAGGATGGTATAATTGAAATGTAAATGAAGAAAGAGTTTACTGGTGGAAAAAAATCTCCAACAGAGAAATTATTTCCAGTCTTGAAAATGAAACCTGTTTTCTGTAATCTGCAAGTTATACTGGGACAAAGAATCCATTCCAAAAATACCCATCAATATTTTGGACCAATGCCATCATGAAGTCCTAATCTGATTATTCATTTTATTTAGGAATATGACTGTACCATCCATATACATACTGAATATTTGTACTAAATTCCTATGCTAAGTGTTACTTGTAAGAGTTGGCCTGACTTACAGCATGACTTACAAAGGATAGGCTCCTACTTCCTATTAAAGATTCCTCTTTTCCCTTTTTTCTTTTAAATTTTTTCCTCTTTTTAGGCATTTTTGTTTGAGTTTTATGCTAGTTAGTCTATCACATTATGATATCTGGGGAACTTCAACCATTGTCAAAAATCTGATAAGGAGACAATATCTGAGCATTTATTATAAAAAGGGGTCTAAAGGTTTCTTAGGCAAACTGTAATTTCCTGATGGTATTTGAAGTTTGACATTATATTGGCAGAGTATCAAGGATGCTACTTCTGAAGGGGTTCACCTAAACATAGCTCTGAACCCCAGGGGCCTGAGACAAGATGTGGAAAACTAGGGATGAACTGTAAACATTTTGTTTAAAGTCAGTTGCACGGGATCACACAGGAGCTTGGAGACAGGGGTAGAATCAAAATCTCCAGGATGAAGTTTAACTGCTTCATCTGCTTTAACCCTGGTTCCGTCTTTCTTTTCTCTCTTGTTTATCACACACCTCAAAACTTTAGCAGTAAATGAAGCAGGAATATTAGGAAAGAAGCTCCATTCATACAGGCAGTCTGTTTAGAGAATGTCATAGTTTGTCTGTACTTGATACACATGTTGCAGGAAGAAAACAGTACACGATCATACAATTTCCGATGCTGTGTACACATCACATCGAAAGGCTGAAATAATACTGTGTACATACTTGTAATGATAACATTTCTTAACTACTGAACACAAAACTTTCTAACCCCTGCTAGCCATCTGTCAAAATTCAGTATTAAGCTCATGAAACTATGTCAAATCACAATACTGATACTCTAGTGTTCTGAGTCAAAAAGTATTTTTGTCATGGAAGACGTGAAATAAAAATAGCTAATTATGTTTCCTTTGCCTCTTGCACTAAAATATTGAAGGTGATTCAAAGCCTTTCCAGCACTTCAATGTTGCTAAATCCTTCCAGTCATAATGGTAGTATGGTAGTTTTGGGGAATGAAAAAAGGTTGTCTGCAATGTATCCATCTTTTTTTCTTTTTGTACTATATCCTCAGTACCAAATATTTTCTAACCCTCTTCTGGAGATTGCTACCACAGTTTGATTTATCCTAAACTTTCCCCAAAGCATTAGCAGATGTTCTTTAAGACAAATATGCTTCCAGGACTGTGTGAGCTCAGCAGAAAGAATATATATTAAAAGCAATAGATATAGATGTTACTTTGTAGTTCTACCACAGTTTCTGTAAGGGACACTAGAAGATTTTAAACATAAGCTAAGAAACAAAACTATTCAACTCTTCAACTATTCAACTATTCAACTTTAGAGATGAAGGGAATATGGTGTACTAAGTTTCAGCAACTCACTTAAAAAAAGTTAAATGTTTTGGATCTATTTGGTAGTTCTATTATCATCCTTTCTCCAATAAGAATACATATGTTTACATTTAAGAGCTCTCTTTCTCTGTTGTCACTTCCAATCTTTGTCCATCAAAATTGTTTTCTGTAACGTAGTAAATGCTAGTCAGAGACCACACGTAGTGTTCTATATGCATTCTGGAATATGTTTCAGCTTATCTCATATAACACTTGAGAGTATTTTTCCCAAGTGAATCTCAATGTTTTTGAGTTCTCTTAGTGTTTTACCATTTGTTTTCCTTATATTACACCAGTCAAAAATTATTGCCTTGGAGAGTTACTTGTGAGCACAATGGGAAAGTTTCTCTTTTTTCTTACCCGGTTTAACTGCTTTTGTCTTGAGCTCTAATTGTTGATGGGTTTTTACTTATTTCATCCTGGTACCTTACAACGAGTATTTGTGCTTAGCTTGATATCATAAATTTGTTTTAACAAATAAAATGTCCCAGTCAGAGCTAATAGTGATTGGTGGCTCAGTATCTTAAAAACAACAAAAATTATATTATATGGCAGGGCAAATCACAAAATCTTTCATGTCTAGTCTTGAAAGATTACTGCTAAGACTTCCCTACTTTTAGAAAAATTATTTTCCTGCTATTCACACTTTGCTTAAATGGTGGCTTAATATAGATGTGACAACCTAAGCTGAATATAGTACAGAGCATTAAAGCAGGCTTTAAATAATATGGTATAAAGATTCCTGATCCATCATAACTTCTCTATTCCCTTTTATTTTTATTTTTTAGTAATTGCTTCAGACATTACAATACTATTTGATCTTCATGTCATGAGAAAGAAAAGAAGGCAGAAGAACTGACAGCTTGATCCTTGCCTTCTTACAAAAGACCAACTTTTAGATTTTGACCTCTTCTAGCGGTGGATTCAACTACTCTAATAGCAGATGCTTAACAGGTCTTGTTTGAATTTGAGCCTTATTCTAACCCTCACGTCCAAAGATCTAATTAGAATACCAGGTACTCTCGCTGCTTTTATTATAAACACTTTGTTGGGGACATCTAATACCCTTACTGTATTTGTTCATTTTGGTGAGGTACAATTACAAAAAGAAGGTGTAGGCTTTGCTATTGGTATTACTTTAAATCCTAGGAATCTGGAGAAAATAGGAAATTAAAATACTGTGTCCAAAAACTGGTTTCCTTTTTAAAGTATTTTTCATCCATGCACTTCTACCCCTGGATCATAAGCCAAATACTGCTCACAATTGACAGTGCTATCCAGATAGAACTCTGAATTTCCTTTGTTTATTGGCTGCCCCACTTTCAGTTAGTTTGATTTCACATCCAAAGTGTTGGTCTTGACCTTGAACCAATTTCTCCAAATTTGTGGCCCCACCAGTGTGTGTATGTGTGTATTTGTATATGTGTATGAAATTAATTAGAGGAATTTATTCAATATGTGTATGGATGGACAGGGAAAATAAGGAAAATAGTGAACAATTGTCTAAATGGCTCTTTTTGAACCCTCAAAGTATTTTAACATCAGTTTAAACTTAAAATACTTATCTTTCAACATCGTTAACTTGTATTTTTTGTGAGTTTAAACTAATTATGCAGAGCACGAGAGTCTTTCAGTATATTTGATTTCAAGTATGTATTCTACTATTAAAGTTAATTGCACTTGTGTAATTCACCCTACCAGTACTGTTAAGAAATACCTCTGTTCAGAGTAGAGCTAGAGATGATGGGGATGGGGCATTGGCTCTAAGGAAGAAACATAGGAAGCTAACATTTTTTAAGCACTGCAAGAAACTCTGAAATACTCACACAGAAAGAGTGGCTATTCTTAGAATATGACACTGAGTCTGTAGCAGCTGATATTTTCTTTGTAAAATTATGGTGTATGCACTGAATATTTTAATTCTCTTGTTTGTGATTTCTTGGTGTACCTGAATAGCTTTCACGTGCATGTATCCTCTATGACTTCTGTAAATGAATACACCGTGTACAAGCAAAAGCCATTTTATGTTGGATACATGTAAATAAAAAAGGTTATTACTCTGCTTGCCTTTGTGATCTAGACAGCATATATTTTAAATTTTAAGCGGTTCTACAACCTGTCCCAAGCCAAGAAGGCAACATTGTTTCACAGATCATTTTGATTAATTTTCTTCTGGCTGACCTGTTACTGCAAATTAATTGTTATTCCACTGGTAGCAAATACATTGCTACTGAAGAAGAACTAGCACAAGCTGTGACATAAGAACTATGACAACAACTCTTAAAAAGTTAGCAGTTCTGTGGCATCTTCAGTTCAATGACATGTCTAGCAAAAAAAAAAAAAAAAAAGGAAATATCAGGTTTGCTACTCCTAATCACAGAATTAATTAGCAGAGTCTTCAGATAGCATAGCAGATACAGTTCTATGGGTTTTGATAGTGTGCAGAGTACATGAATCCAAGCTATATTGTCAGTGCCTCCCATAATGTTGTTGCTATTTCCTTTTCTAGTCTTTAATAATATAGGATAGCTCAGGGTTTCAGTATGTTTTCTTCTTTCTTTTTTTTTCCTTCTCCCTAAAAGTTTAAAGAATAGAACCCAAGTCACATTTTTTAGAGGGAAACTGCATAGTCTAGGCTCTTCTAAGTCAATTAATGTATTTGTCTTAAAAGACAAAAAAATAATGTCCTTCTTCTGTGACTTCACTGCTTTTACAGACCAGCCACAAACACACACATACAAGAAAGCATTGCTTAGTGCTTTCGTAAGCGATGTTTATAGAATTGAAACAATTGCTTTAAAATTAAAGCTAAAGCAAATGCTATATCCAAAAGGAAAGATGATCTTTAATTGGAGTGCCCCATTTATGCAGAGGAAAGGCATAGACATCTGGTCCTCCATGTATAGTTTTAGAAGGCATTTAATCTGGAAATCTGTGTAAGGGCATACAACTAGATACATTTTTCCAGACTCCAATAGAAAATACTTTTGCAACAAAGGGCCATCAAAAAAAAAAAAACATAACAAGCAACTTCTGGCTCTTAAAATACTTAACTCTCTCTGTCTTATTGAAAGCAATCTAACTTTCAACTTGAAAACATTTTTTTCATACTATTATGTAGGCTAGGCATATAATTTAGGCTCTAAATTTATTTACTTATACCAGGAGAATTAAATTCATTAAAATAAAAATATCTATAGGTTACTGGTATCACACCTTGTAGATGAAAAACAAGTATTGTGATGACACAAAATGCAAGGAGACACAAACCACCCAACACCATTACTGTGTATGACAAAGATATGTTACTTCTCTTTAAACTGGATCTGTGCAGTATGTATGTCACCTTCAATTCATCTAATTGCGGATTTTTGGATCTGTGACAAATCTCAAGACTTGTAATCTATTTTGAGACAAGCTCATTATGTATAGAGTGTCTCTATGACATGTTTCGAAATTTCCTAAATTTCGAAAACAAGTGTAAGAGTATACCCTTCATAAGTGGGCTATCCAGTAGTTCACTGCCTTTAATGTTAGTTTTTCTTAATAGCTACACAAGATACTTCTCTGTCTAAATAAGCTGATTCCTTCTTGTCCTATCCTAGGCACACTTCATAACAGACTTTTGAACATTGAAAGACTTACCTTTTTTTCTATTCTTCCACCTTCCCCATAGACCTCACAATGCCTTTTCCTTCAAACATTTCTCACATTTCATTTCCGAAAATTACTAGCACTCGTGCACTGGCACTTTTCCATGAGTACTACTCAGTTTACCAAAAAATTTACCAGCAAGTTCACTAGTCTGATTTGCAAATAGTGCTCTGGTTGAAGCTTCCATAGACAATAGAGTAATTACCTATTGTATATGATATACAATAGTCTTGGTAATAGTCTTTGGTAAGGCAGCTCAAAGTGGCATTTGCCTTTTAATATCCTACTGATCTATTCAGTTTATGTTCCACTCTAACTTGATGTCCCCATCTGTAGTACTGTGATAAATGTCCAAGAAGCTAGTCTTTCTTTTTAATAACTTTTGTCTTACTCTGTTGTTCTTTGGCAGCAACTTTGAAACAAACCTTTCTTAGCCTCTTTCAGTTTATCAAAACTATATAATATATGCTCTGTCACCAAAGTAAATACTGAAATTATGATCAACCTTATGGTTATCAAAATTCCCCTGTTCTATTCCATGTGTTTCAAGACAGCTGAGCCAATTTGTTGTGACTCTGCTCATCCAAAGATTGTCAGCTCAGTTACAAAAACAGTACAGATATTATCAAATAGGACAGAAAACCAACTGATAAATGCTTTTACATGACTCTTGAAACCCACTGTAGATAATCCAGTACTTCTGTGCAGAATTCTATCATAATCTTACTAATTCAGGTTTGACCAGAGCCATGTCAGTAGAGCATACTGGAGATACATTGATCCACCAGTGAAGACTTGTTGAAGACTTCTCTGAAAACTGACCTATCTAATGTAACAGTTTTTGAAGATTCTAAGGTCTCTTTACCTTGACACAGAACTGTAGGTTCATTTAGCATCAGTAGAAACTTAGCTTTAGTAAATCTAGATCTCCCATAATGACATATTCTCAAGTTGAAAAATTTATTTCAAATTTCTTAGTATTTCATGCATGGCCTCCTTCTTTGTAAAATCACCCTATGAACAGTAAAAGCTCTGCATTTTCTTGGTGTGCATCTTCAGAGAAAGCTGATGAAAGCTGTTACGTTGGCATAAACGTAGCTGTTTGTTTGGTCAAGCAAGTAAAAGCAGGGAATCAAATTGAAGTCTTTTGCACTGTCTTGCAGACCACTAACCACAGTAAAGATACTTGGTTGGCCCAGGAATAACATGGGATCCTGAAGTCATACCCAGACTGGGGATTTTTTAAAATTGTGGTATCCTCAGGAAGCAGTAATTTAGAACTGAGTGCAGGATGATTGTTTTGTTTTCTTGTAAATCTTTCAAGATGCTAATTGTGATTACAATATGAAATTAGAGATCTGTCCATTTTATATCACAGACAAAAATTTGAAATTAGTGAAATTTAAAGGACTGTCTGTTAAGAATAGAAAAGTATTTGTTTGCAGAAATGTGTTTAGTACAAGAATAAAAGTCAAAGAGCAGAATCAGACACCCTTCAGGTAAAGGCTGACCAAAGATACAAGCACTTGCAAAGCTCTAAAGCTTTAAAGTGAAATGGATGAAATTAATTTGTCTCATGCAAACAGTGCTGGGTATCTGAATTTGACTTTTAAAAATTGCTTAGCATATAAAATTGGTTATAATATTCTTTGTTAATAGAGAGGCTCGAGAATAAATGTTTTCAAGCCATGAAGGGAGGCCAAACGAACTCTGCACAAAGGGAAGCTTGGATCTGTTAGGTAGATTGAGAGTATTAAATAAATTCACCTTGTATTTTAATGCAGAACTCAAGCACCAGGGCGTACAAGGAATGGGCATGCTTCATCCCTGCTCGGTAATTTGTGGTGGTGTTCATGTATCTTGAGAACTTCAATCATTCCTCATTAAAATAAGTTCTAGGCAATCAGGTTTTCATGCTGAGAGCTAGGAAGGAAAATATTTATGATTAAAGAGACATACAGCTGCTATTACTGATCCTGAATAGTTTATTTTGGACACCCTATATTATTTCTTTCTTTTCTTTTTTTCACACTTTTGGGTAAAGGCTTGGGTGTGTGCTTGAAAAAACAAGCCTCCAGTGTGGTTAGAGAATGCCCATTTACTATCTATTCTGCCTGCTGTTTAGGCAGTGTAGTATATGTGGGATAAACAGTAAGATTGAAAACGTTATTGTTGTTGCTGTTGTAACTTAAGACAAATAAGTATATTTTCTTTGATTTCCAAAAACATTGGGCTCCTTAGTGTAAGGCACCAACTGAAGTTCCAACCAAGTCAATGTCTATACTTTAAAATAAATTTCAGACATTTGCTACATATTTTGACTATCTTAGTTTCTGCAGTATATTAAAATAAATTCTGTCTTTGATTTTCCTAAGTAGCATTGATAGAAGGTCAACAAAGTGGAAATTAATAATATTTTATGGGTTTTTTGAAAAATGAATGAAAATACCTGCTTTTAATTCTCTTGGAGTGAACTAGTAGTCCATCTCAGGATGTGGTTTACTTTTCAGGCACTTTGGGGAAGTCGATGTTGATATTGTTTAATAATGCAGTTTATATTATTCTTAGTAGATCAAGCACAAAACGTGGTTGATCGAAAATCAAAAGTATATAAAAAAGATTATTGATGTTTAAGCAAACAGTTTAAAGAACACCTGTGTACACCAATCATTAACTCTCAATACTTAGTAACACTGACAGCTGTCCTACACAATTTAAATGACTCAGGCATTTAGTTTCATCCTGCTGCAGAGTTTCTTTGTTGAGTATGTTTGAATTGCTCAGAATTGTTTGTCCCAATGTACTTTGCTTCCAATACCAATCTAGTGCTTCCAGTGACTTATTTAATTATGTGCTTCCTCTCCTTGTTCTATTTGGGTCATTTCCTCATGTTTTCCTTGGATTCTGATTTTCCAGTCACCATAGGTAGCTGTATTCCTTTGCTATGTTAGATGAAATAATCTCCAAAGATTAATAATATTGAGTACAACTTCTCTTTTAATCTTCAAGCCACATGTCTTCCACTGTCCTCCCTTCTACTCTGAGATGAAATTTTTTCCATGAATTAAAAATAAGAAAGAAGATGAAGTATTTAGAAGAAAGAAAAGAAGCATGGAAATATATAAATTACTACATAAATTTTCCACATAAAATAGTTTATATAACATATATGACATTAACAAATATACTTCTTACTTTGGAATGTCGTTTTTTAGTAGGAAGTATGTCTTCTGGATCAAAGATACCATCAAGTTAACATATATTATAAATTCTTTGTCTCAACAAAAGTACTTCTCAAGATGGCACTTGTTTTGACATATTGAAAAATATTTTATTTACTACTAGAGGTACATACCAAATCTACAAATACTAGAAGCAGTTACTCTAGAGGAGGAATGTCTGT